AAATGAATATAAAATGTTGAAATAATTCAACAATTCAGGGTTTGCATGAGGTAGTCTGCAAATTATCTGGGATGCAGTATCATAAACCCATCAACTACCACAATAAAAATTAATTAAGAAAGAATTTCTTCTTACATTATTGATACAATACCAAGCAGACAAATGATGAGAATAAAGATAATTTAATAATAAGTTCTTATATAGCACATTAAAATTGAACTCTATGCGCTTATATCAACTATAATTATCAACTACAGGATTACTAGTTGATCCAATACCATATTCTCCAAACTAACATCACAAGAGTTGAATGGCAGACAGTTAGGAGAGTTGCTAATGAAATCTTGGAAGTGAAAGGGTTATTTATAATTAGTTTTTAACTCTTGCTAAGAATTTGAAAATTAACAGAGTTTCAAGAGTATGGATGATTTTAACTTGTTCTTTATGTACATGTAGTTGGAGAGTAAAAATTAATATGTTTACTTATTAGACGTTTTGGTGTGTTGTAGCGCTGAATGTTTTTACGAGTTGTGCGGTAAATACGAATAATGACTCAAAAGTCCTCAACAAAACTACGCACCAAAAGGTCTAATAAGTGATTTATTTTTCAACTGCTTTATTTTCTATGCATTTCTCATAAGGCAGTATAGGGAAAGAGGATAGAGATGTGTAGCATGTGCAGTTTACTGGTTAAAAACAGGTTTTTTACAGTAAAAAATAACCAACTGTGTAAAAATTGCAGGGTAGTTTTACTCTATGTAGTGCAGTTTGGTAATAAAATGGGCTAATGTAAGTTGATTAACAAGAGGTCCAATTCATCCAATGTTTTAGTGATCAATGTTTAGCGGGTTTATTGTAATCACTATTTTCTAAATCTGCTTGGTTTATCTTTGTTTACACAGTTGCTTTGGATCCTTATGTGTTCCACCATTATGGGACTTCTAATGCAGGTGAGAAAATCAGTTTGTGTCTTTTTTTTCTTCTAATTAAAAGTCAAATTTGTTGAAAGTTGCAAGGCACCAACCTTCAACTATTAAATTGTCATAAGAGATGAAATATTGGTCACTAGGAGAAAAGTAAATGTCAGCATTTTCCTTTTAGTTAAAAATTCTCCAAATCCAACAGAAATTCCATGTTGCTCATATTTGGTACTAAATTATAATCAGAAACAAGGGAACATATTAATTAAAAACAAAATGACAAGACCAATTTAAGCACAGGCGTCCCAAGCTCATATCTCGAGGAAAAGCGAAGGATTATTTCATGAAAGCATCATGCGTTGTGTGACGTGGTGATAAGTTACGCAAGTAACTATTGAGAATTTGAATGCATTATAAGGAATAGTATGGGGACCAAAATATGGTCCATTTAAAATACTAAATATTCCAAAATATGAACATTTTACAGGTTAGATTAA